GGTTGCACTAAGAGTAACCATAAAACTGTCATCAATTGTTGTAAAATCTCATCTGATTCACCAATGACTTTTAGGGAAGAAATCTGTATTCCTTTTTCAATCTGGCCTACGTGTGACTCCAGACCCAAAGCAATGTGGTTGACTCTTAACTGCCACTTGGAATGGCCCTGAGCAAGAGTAAGGGCAACTGACAATAGGTAACAAGTGATGCTCATGTCCCAAGGTCAGATACAAGGTGACTCATCAAGTGTCCTTCAACAGCACCTTCCAAACCCACAATTTCTACCATCTAGATGAGATTTAGGCAGCAGACCTCAGCAAACACTATCCTTAAATAACTCTTTGCAAGTCGCTGTTCCTTCAGTATCACTCAGTCAAAATCCTGGAATTCTCTCTCTAACAGCATTGAGGGACTAAACCCGAGATACTGCAGCAGTTCAAGAGGCAGCTCGCCTCTCCTAGCAATGTCTCATGAGTAATTTCTTCTTAAAAATCCAGACACACTATGTGAGAGAAACACACTTACAGAGAGACTTATGGATAGACAAATGATCACATGCAGCTTATTTTCTCAAACATACACACATATACAGTCAAACCCATGCACACTCCATTAAAACCAGTTCCATACATGGAAATATATAGAGAAGAACACATGAACAACTGTACAGAATCGAAAACAACACACAGTGAGCAACTGAACCTGAAGTATTAGTTTTTTAATCACTGCTGTCATGACAACTACAAATTACGGTCATCCTGGAAGTTGTGATATAAAGAAACAAAGCAGCCATAATCAGGAGCAGAACCAGAATAGAATCAAGAACCTGGCTAGGACCAGGACTAGGACCAGGACTGGGATCATGAGGAGGAGTAGTCCCAAAAGTAAAGCCAGAACTAGAATCAGATCATGACCAGGACCAGAATCAGGACTGGACTGCTTCGCACAGATCAATGGAAGATTGTAATTCACAAATCAGTCTCCGCCATCCACCAGGTGTCCTCCTTCATCCCTGACATCACAGAATCACATTGTATCCTGGATCACCGGCTGATTTAATCAGGATCACCAGCTAAATGGATCACTAGCTAATTCAACTGTGATCACTGGCTGATTTAACTAGCTTGCTGGCTAATTTAACCAGGATCACCAGTTGATTAAACTGGGATTATTGACTGATTTAACTAGATCACTGAGTGACTTAACAGGCTACTGGCTGATTAATCCATCACTATTTATCCAGGATCACCGGCAAAATTTAACCAGGTTCACTGGCAGATTTAACTGGGGTCACTGGCAGATTTCACTGGAATCATTTCCAAGTCTCTAACCCGTACATCGAGACCATGCTGTGGAAGTCCGAAGAGAGAATAAAAGCAGTCGAGTCCAGTTATGGTTCTGGTTGGTTCAGCAACTCTCGCCAGGTGTGCAGTGTATAGACCGGGTCATTGGAATCCAGAGTCAACATTCTCTGTCACTTTAAAATACTGTACAGACCATGGATACGACAGAACAATAACATCCCATACACAGCTGAAAAGTAAGTAGAAATTGAGAGAAAGGATGATGGGGGATGTAGACCAGGTAAGGTAGAGGAGGAGGAGAAGAAGGTGGAGGGGTGGGGCGGAATGGGAAGGTGAGAAGGTTTGAGTGAGAGGGTCTGGAACTGAAGTGAGGGCAGAGGAAGATGATGCAAGGAGAAACTGATGGAGTGATGAAACAGGAGCAGAGTATGAGGGAAAGGCAAAAGGAAATGAGAGAGGAGGTGAGGGAGAGGGCAGGGATCAGAAGGCAAGGAGGGAACAGGAGGTTCATGGAGGGCTAGAACAGCAGGGGATGGAGCATGGAAAATCATCTGAGACCATGAGACATTGACTGTCCGCACTCGGTGTGGGTTGGAGGGACAGGGCTGCTCAGATTCACTGCAGATACTGGGACAAATAATTCAACCCTGTCTCATAAAGAAAAGCTCCTCTGATGCTGCCTGGCCTACTGTGTTCCTCCAGCTCCACACTGTGTTATCTCTGACTCCAGCATTGGCAGTTCTTGCCACCTCATAAAGAAAAGGGGCAGGGAAACACAGCAGAAGGCTGCAGACCTGGCGAGGAGCAGGCCTCACCACTTTCCAGGCGAGCTCTGTGGCACATTCTGCTGCCCCACCAGGCACGAGTGGCAGGCTGAGATAGTGGCCTTACAGGAGAGGAAGGGGGAGATGTTCAGAGCCAAGGGTGGGGTGGGGATGGCTGGGTGTGTCTCAGCAGGACACAATTCCTAATGCTGGGCTCCTCGAACGGGCATCTGCCCGTGCCCTTGATCATTTGACCACCAGCTAGCACACTGCTGCCAAACAGTTTGCCGATCATGTTCTCTATTGACTGAGACCAGCCTGACCACTGGCTGAATGCCAGCAAAGGCCCGAGAGCAGGACTAGGCTCCAAAAAACTCTTAGTTACCCTCTTAAGGACCTCAATTGATAGGGTAGGAGGGCAGGGTACTATCCTTCACTCTGCAGACCCCATCAGGGAAAGCATAGTGACCCAACTTGTCACCCTCCCACCTAATTAAACACGTACCCACCACCAAACTCACCAGAGAATAGGCCGTTACATTCTCCATTCATGTCCAGGACCAGGAGCCACACTGTTGGAGATACTGTCTTTTAAACAAGGGTTAAACCAAATGCCCTTTTCCCCCCCTCAGGATATAAACTGAAAGTAAAGCAACCTCTACACTGTCCCCATCAAAAACTCCTAGGACAGGGACAGCATGGGATTAGATAGAGTGTAAAGCCTCCTCTACTGTTTTAAACTGAAAGTAAAACCTCCTCTACACTACCCCCATCAAACACTGATTAGAAATAACAATTGTTAAAATCATATTATTTTTGTCTGAATGTGGAAAGAGTGTGTGATCCACTGTCATAGTGTGTGAGTGTGTTACCCGCAGTCCCAGTGTGTGAGCCACTGTCCGAGTATGTGAAGCAACAGTGTGCAATGAACTGTCAGTGTGTAAAGTGTGTAACCCGCAGTCTCAGTGAAATGTCAGTGTGTGAATCACTGTGCCAGGCTGTGAAGTCAAATTGTGTGATTCATAGTCCCAAATGATATGTAACACACAGTTCTAGTGTGTGAAACGACAGTGTGTCACACACTGTCCCACTTTGTAAAATGACAATGTGTGGTCCACAGAGTTTTTTTTATTTTCTATTCATTTGTGGGATGTGGGCATCACTGGCTGGCCAGCATTTATTGTCCGTCCCAAGCTGCCCTTGAGAAGGTGGCGGTGAGCTGCCTTCTTGAACCGCTGCAGTCCACCTGCTGTGGATTGGCGCACAGTGCCTTTAGGCAGGGCATTCCAAGATTTTTGACCCAGCAACAGTGAAGGAACAGCGATATATTTCCAAGTCAGGATGGTGAATGGCTTGGAGGGGAATTTGGAGGTGGTGGTGTTACCAATATGTCTGCTGCCCCTGTCCTTCTAGATGGAAGTGGTCCTGGGTTTGGAAGGTGCTGCCTGAGGATTATTGGTGAATTTCTGCAGTGCATCTTGTAGATAGTACACACTGGTGCTACTGCGCGTCGGTGGTGGAGGGAGTGGATGTTTGTGGATGTAGTGCCAATCAAACGGGCTGCTTTGTCCTGGATGGTGTCAAGCTTCTTGAGTTTTGTTGGCGCTGCACTCATCCAGGCAAGTGGTGAGTATTCCATTGCACTCCTGCCTTGTGCCTTGCATATGGTAGACAGGCTTTGGGGGACTCAGGAGGTGAGTTACTCGTCGCAGTATGAAATAAATGGTCCTAGTGTGAGAAATGTGAATGTGAGTGCGTCCAAACCACTGTTCCAGTGTGTGAAATGATAGTGTACACCCACTATCTCACATTGGGAAATGTCAGTGCATGACTCACTGTCCAAGTCTGTGGCCACTGTCTCAGTGTGTGAAATGACAGTGTTTGACCTACTGTTCCAGTTTGTACGTAAACAGTATGGCTAAGTGTTCACTCCTGGCTTCCATTAAATTCCAAAGACAGCCCTCCATTCACAGGGGCACTGGGAAATGCTGTGGGTCAAGAAACCTGCCTGAATTTTCCTGTCCTAATCCACGGCAATGAAATTAATTGTTGCTCCCCTTTCAGATTGTAACACAGTGAGCTTACGGTTACATTCCCTGACTGGGGTGTTGGAGGGACATATGTGTTGCTGCCTTCCTGTTCTAGCTTTGGCAAGTCTTTTTGTCAATGTGTGGCTAAGACCACTGTAGGAAATATCTTCCCACTTTCCCACCTCTTGGCAGCACTCAGCAATGTCTGATCTAACAGCCTACGAAGCCCATGGCCTTCTCCCCAAACTCCATTCTCAGTCTCTGCTGCCCCTACCACGGCTCACGATTGTGATTGCGTTGTTGAGGAACAGAAAGTGGCCATAATGGACACATTATGACCGTAATAACTCGCTCCACAAAAGATACCCTGAATCCTCCTTCCCTTTGCAGTGACAGCTTTATCGGTCTTAAGTTGAAAGCCACCACTTGCCTCTGGGCCTCACACAAACCCACCCCCATTTCGACTTGACTGGAACTTTGCCTGCTCCTCAGAAAGACAGGAACTCACTCTGACATTTGAAAACAGTGGATCAGGAGCGAAACAGAAGGTTCGCAGCAACTGGGAGAGGTTGGTACAGCCACGGCAGCGAAAGCCCAGTATTCTCGCGTTTTACAGCTTTCCCATCCCCAGGAACTCAAGTTTCCCAGACCTTTCAAATAAAAACATCCTGGTTATAAACACACGTGGCAGTTTCTCTCCATGGCCTCTGTTGCTCTGCTAGGCCCAGTTGGAGTTAGAGGGTGGCAAGGCTGTGTGGGGAGGGGAGTGAGGGGGGTGGGGTGCGCATGAGAAAGCCCACCCTGGGAATTGGCCTTCTCCCTTTCAGATCACACCCAGCTCCTTGGCAGAGAGTCCTTGTATAAAATACAATATCTACAAAGATATTAAACAGGAGCTGCCTCACATCATGTCCTCCAGCAGATTGGGTTTGCGAACCCACTCGAGAGTCAGTGGCTCAGAGGCGGCCATGATCATACACATGAACTGTTTGCCCGTTCTCTTGTCAATGGGGTAAATGGTGGTGGGGGTAAATCTCTTATTGTTCTCCACAAACTCACAGAGATCCTGATAGATTTGGGGGTATTCATGTCGCAGGAAAACTCCTCGGATACGGAGCTCCCGCTGGACATTGATGAAGCATACCTCTCGCGCCCTGCGGCCTGCTTCATCCTCCTGTGCAATGTCACTGGTCCCTGGCGGCGGTGTCAGGATGAGGGTCTCCATCTCGTCGTCGGCCCTGAGCGTCTTGCCCTTCTTCTCGGGGCTGCTGGAGGCCAGCGCTATCTTGGCGAACCTGCGGACTGTTGGTGTCTGGAGCCGGGGAGACGGGTTCTCAGGCACCTTCTGGCCCAGGGCAATCGACACGTTCAGCAGGAAGCACTCGTCTGGGTCGTAGAGGTGGGCGGCCTCCTGGATCTCCCTCAGGTACTCGCCCAGCGGTTCGGCGTAGCCGTCCAGCTCCCGCAGTGACAGGTAGGTGGGGGCCAGCAGCAGGCTCTCCAGGCCATACTGCAGGAAGTTGTCGGCCGAGCCTGGGTTGGGAAAGCCCTGGAACAGGACCCCCTTGCCCCGGGACAGGTAGCCCATCCTGGCGATGCGGGAGAAGGCCTTGTGGGCCGCCTGGTTCTCGCGGCAGCTTCTGAGTACCCGCTTGCACGTGCTGCTGACCCGGCCGTAGACACAGGCCTCCTTGTGCATCTCCCAGTCGTCCTTGCGGCAGTTCCGTGAGCAGTAGTATGTGTAGCAGCTGTGGCACGACTTGAAGTAAAGCCTCGCGTTGAACAGGGTTTCCGTCAAGCCACACTTGAGGTTTGAGCACATCATGGTGTCCACGTCATCTGAGGCGCCACGCTCTTGGGGAGGCCCGTTGCAAGGACTTGGGTAACTGGGGCTCCGCGACAGGCCCAGGCCCAGGCCCAGGCCAAGGCCATGGGGCTCAGGGCCTGGGCCTAACATCCCTGGTTGGGCCTTGGCCTTTTGCGGCTCTCTGGTGTGCACCAGCACAGTCCTCACGCCGCGGTCGCCAGACAGGTCCTCAGCTGCGATCAGCCTCCTCAGCTGGTCGACCAGAGCATCTGAGTCGCTGGGTTTGGCGGCTGGGGCCTTGCAGGTGTCGATCACCAGGTCGGCCAGCACATCGTCCAGCTGCTGCTGCTTCCCAGGCCGGTGAGGGCAACCTCCCCCTCCCCCTCCACCTCCACCAGCCGCCGACGACGACGCGGGGCCCAGCCCCGGCTCCAGGTTACACGAAAGCAGGTCATTGAAGGAGGCACTGAGGCCATTGCCGCCATCCAAGGCCTGCTGTCGGCTCGGTTCGGGTCTACCACGGGCCTGTGCTGGCCCATTAGCCCGCAGCTCATTGTCAGTGATGGTGATCTCGGGGGTGATGTACCAGGCCCTCCCCTGGCCTCCCCTGCTCCCGTCCCCCTGGAGTTTGTCAGCCAGCGAGCTCTCGGACAGAGACAGCGCCGCATAGCGCTGAGGGGACCGCGACAGGTTGACCACGGTGGGCCGGCGCCTGGACTCGGCTGAGCGGCCGGGCCTCTCCTGAAGGGGCAGGGTCTCGTAGCTGCGGCAGTCGGTGGCTGGGAACTCGGCCCTGTGCCGGCTCGGAGACAGGATATTATCCCAGGACTTGGAGTAGTAACGGGACTCTGAGCCCAGTCTGTGCTGGTCGATGCCGTAGTAGGAGCCATGAGGAGAGAGGGTGCCCGCTCTGCCCTCCCAGTAAGGAGGGCATGGAGATACGTAACCCTGGTGGGCATGGGCAGCTCGGTACGTGCCCCACCAGTCATGGTAATGCATTGGTGAAGTGTAGCGATGCTGTGAGGGCCTCGCTCGCTCCTCGGTGCAGTAGATATTGGGCTGTGGCCCTGGACGGGACTGCCTCCTGGGTTCAGGGTAAGGCTGCTGACTGAAAGCTGGCACTGTCTGGACCAGCTGTGGGATCCCCCTCCTGCCCTCGTCCTGGTGGTAGTACCGGTGTGGGGAGCAGTTGTTGTGAGCGGTGAGCGTCCAGTAATCGCCGCTGAATGACTCGCTTGGAGAGTGAGTCCTTGCTGCCCGTCGGTTAGCTGGGACGGTCAAACTGCGTCCGGGTTGGCCATGCCAGCTGCCCACGGTGCTCTGCTTCTGCGGGGTCTTCCACGTCCTCAAGGAGGGGGTCATCACCGGGTCCTCGGGTTTCATGTCGACACGGTACCGCACATGAGCCCCTGCTCCAGGCTTGGCACCTTGGCCTTCCTCGTAGCCCTCGCCGCTCTCACTCACAAACAGAGGGGAGTACAGGCTGGCATCACCTCGCTGGGGCTGCAGCTTGATGGGGTGCACCTCGTTGATCCTGGTCCTGGCCGGGTGAGGCAGATCTCTCCTTGGTGAGGCTTCCGTCCTCTTGTGGGAATCCCTGTGTCCCCGCAGTGCCTCACGGCCCCTGCGGGACAGCTCAGGAGAGCCCACCTCCACGGGCACAGGCCGGTAGGTGGTCTTCACCCTGGGGGCACTCTTGGATCTGCCTCTCTTCTTGGTCTCGGGTCTGAAGGCCTCCCTGGGCTCCCCCGAGTGGGCACACAGCCGGTTGGCAACGATTTCGGGAGCTGAGGAGCGGTGGTAAACCTGCCTTCCCAGTGAGTCCCAGGCTGGCTCGGGACTGGTGGGCTGTCGATCAGCTCGCCCGGATGAGTACTCCTCCATGGGCGCTCCAGAGTCTGCCTGTCCGTCTAGTGACTGCAGGAAGTCGAAGCTTCGACACTGTCGCTTGTGAACGTAGTGCTGGCTGTCCTGTGCAGAGGAGCTGAGCTTAGAGGCATCACACTTGCGCTGGGCCTTATAGACTTTGGGCTCGCCTGGCATTGGGCTGACTTTAATCTCTCGATACACGGTAGATACCAGTATGTCCGGTGGGTCTGTCCGTGTCATCTTAAAGGAGCTGTAATCTTTGCTGAATTTCCTCAGACCCTTTCACGATGAATCTACCCTGCAACAGAAACAATTAAAATTTGGGTTTTAAGTCGCTGCTTCTGGTATTGGTTCTTAGCTTTCCTGCTATGTGTGACACACTTGCAGTTTATCAGTCCTGAGATTCCCATTGGAGTAGTGTGTTTGGAACACTGTACGTGTGGAACACAGAAAGTCAGAGCAGGAATAGGCCATTCGGGCCTTTGAGCCTGCTCCACCATTCAATATTGACCATGGCTGATCGTCCAGCTCAGTTCCCTGTTCCCGCTTTCCCCCCATGCCCTTTAATCCCTTTAGCCCCCAGAACTATATATAACTCCCCAGTCATTGGGAACAAAATTTCTGAGTTTACCCTATCTAGTTCTGTTAGAATTTTGTCGGTTTCTATTATTTGCACCTCATTTTTTTGAACTTCAGCGAGTATCATCCCAGCTGATCCAGTCTCTCTTCCTACATCAATCCTGCCATACAGGGAATCAGTCTGGTAAACTTCGTTGCTCTCCCTCTTTAGGCAGAGCATCCCTCCTCAGACAAGGAGACCAGTGTGTACGCACTATTTCAGGTGTGGTCTCACCAAGGCCCTGTACAATTGCAGCACATTTATCCACATTATATTTCATCTGCCATGCACTTGCCCACTCACTCAACGTGTTCAAATTACATTGAAGCATCTGTGGATCCTTCTCACAGCTCACCCTCCCACCCAGCTTGTGTTTGTCTGCAAATTTTAGTTCCCTCATCTAAATCATTAACACAGATTGTCAATAGCTGCGGTCCAAACACTGATCCTGTGGTACCCTACAGTCACTGGCTGCCACTCAGAGAAAGACCCATTTATTCCTACTCATTGTTTCCTGTCTGCCATATTAGTGCACCATCCCAATCTCATCCACTATAATATTCATGTTAATCTCTTATGTGGGACCTTATTGAAAGCCTTCTGAAAGTCCAAGTAAACCACATCCACTGGTTCCCCCTCATCAGCTCTGCTAGTTACATCCTCAACATACTCCAGTAGATTTGTTGAGCATGATTTCCCTAATGTAAATCCTTGCAGGCTCTGTCCGATCCTGTCACTGTTTCCCGAATGCTCTGCTATTAAACATTTTTGATGGCCTGTAGCAGTTTCCTCACTACTGAAGTCAGGCCAACCAGTCTAAAATTCACTGTTTTTTCTCCCTCTGTAAATAGTGACGTTACATTAGCTACCCTCTAATCCATTGGAACTGTTCCAAAGCCTACAGAATCTTGAAGTATGACCACCAAAGCATCCACTATTTCATGGGCCATTTCCTTAAGCATTCTGGGATGCCTTCAAATGGTCCATCTCTGACAATTGTCTTCCTGCCCTTGTCTTCCATATATCCATTTCTAGGGTTGGATTATTGACCGATCTCAGATATAAGCCCAGGCTCATAAAGCCAATCTGACAGTGATTTCTCATACTCTGCTTACTGTAAGGACTCCATTTGAACCACTCAGTTTCCATGTGTCCATCATACCTGTTCTGATGTTATCACTTTATCCACAAACATGGATCCTCTACACCAAAGCTGATAGGGTTTGTGTCTGTGCCCATTTCCCACATCCTCACTTTCACTCCTTCTCCTCCTCCTTCTTGGAATCATATCAGAGTTCCTCTTGGGTTCACCTTCCTTCCCAGCAATATCCATATTTCAATGGATTATCCTCCACCATTTCCCATCACATCCAGCACAACGGCATGACCAAACAAATCAACTCCTCTCCTCCCCTGTCAGCATTCCTTCGGTGACATCCTCTTCTTTCTGCATAGCCTCCCCTCTTGCCATGGCACCTTCTATTGAAAGTAAAGTAGATGCGATCCCTGCCCTTTCATTCCTCCCTTGGCACTGCCTAAAGCCCCTAATACCCATTCCAGGTGAAGCAGAAATCTTGTTGTACTGGTTACAATCTAGTCTGCAGTATTCACGGCTCACAATGCGATCCTCTACATCCAGTAGACAAAGCACAGACTGGGTGACCACTTTGTAGAATACGTCCAATCAGGACACAAGCAAAACCCCCTAAGCTTCCTCTCGTTGGTCATTGTAATTCTCCACTTAGTTCCCATTTTGAGCTCTGTCCTTGGCCTCCTACAGTTTCCCAACAAAGTTTCAAGCAAACGTGAGACACAGCACCTCTTCTCTGAGCGGGTACTTCACTGAACTCAACACTGAGTTCAATAAGTGATGTAAGATTAGAACCTCTGCCCATTGGATTTCAGTTCTGGTTTTCTTTTATTTCTTAACATCTGGATTACTGCTTTCCTGCCATTCACTCCTCCCCCTTTATTATACACAAATTTTCTTTCGTTACATGTCCCATTCCCACTTCTTTTGCCCTTTCACTACCATCCTGTTTTGCCATTTCATCTGTCCTGTCTTCTACCTGATCAGAGAGCTGTATTTTTGTCTTTTTGTGCTCCTCCCTGTATGATCCTGAACCTGGCCGACATCTGCTGTGAAGTCACAGACTTGAAGCATTAACTCTTTCTCTCTGCCCCTGCCAATGTTGCAAGATTTGCTGGGGGAACTCCAGTACTTGCTGTTTGCATTTCAGTCTCCGTTATCAAGTTCACCAGGACATGGAGACACAGCAAACACCAATAGGTTACACAAAGTTTCTCCAAATGAGAGACAGAGAGAGCAAGATCCAGAATAATCAGAACTAATTCATCACCAGCCCATTAACAACTGAGGTATACAGCCAATGATTATCAGGATAAACCAATATTTCCAACAGTGAGACTGAATCAGGAGGTTCAGCTCTGCATTCGGTACAGACTCTGCTTGCTGAGCCCAGACACCAGTCACCATTCATCCACAAGAGAGATGGATCAAGTACACCTGGGTTCATATATCTTAGCTGTGTTTAATAAACTAATTCCACTGTCCTGCTCTCTCCCCGTAGCCCTGAATGAATCCCAAACAAATCCAAATGCCCCACTCTTCCCATAGCCCCATATTAATCTCAGACTAATCCCACTTTCCCACTCTCTCCCCATAGCCCTGTATAGATCTCAAACTAACCCATTTCCCATTCTCTCCTCATGGGCTCATATCAATCCCAAAGTACTTCACTGCTCCATTCTCTCCTCACAACCCTATATCTGGGTGTGGGTGAGGCTATGATTGAGGGATGATGGTGGAAGTTGAGCTGAGGGAGAGGTACACATGCGGAGTGAGGTGTAGGGGAGGAATGACGGTGACTGTTAAGAATAGGCCATTCTGGATTTAGAGATAACACAGCGTGGAGCTGGAGGAGCACAGCGGGCCATGCAGCATCAGACAAAAGAAGTGGGAATGGGACATGTAACAAAAGAAAATATGTGTATGAAAAAAAGGGGAGGAGTGAATGGCAGGAAGGCAGTAATCCAGATATTAAGAAATAAAAGAAAACAAGAACTGAAATCCAATGGGCAGAGGTTCTAATCTTACATCACTTATTGAACTCAGTGTTGAGTTCAGTGAAGTACCCACTCAGAGAAGAGGTGCTGTGCCTCAAGTTTGATTGAAACTTTGTTGGGAAACTGTAGGAGGCCAAGGACAGAGAGCTCAAAGTGGGAACAACGTGGAGAACTACAATGAACGACAAGAGGAAGTTCAGGGTTTTGCTTGTGTCCTGAGTGGACATATTCTACAAAGTGGTCTGATGCTGCCTGGCCCGCTGTGCTCCTCCAGCTCGACATTGTGTTATCTCTGACTCCAGCATCAGCAGTTCTTATTATCCCATTCTAATCTAACTCATTTTGGAGAACCGCGGGACATGGTCTCAGGGTAAGGAGCTGGCCATTTAGGACTGGGATGGAGACGAATTTCTTCATTCAGACGGTGGTGAATCTTTGGAATTATTTATCCCAGAGAGCAGTAGAGATTCCAGTCATTGAGTCCATTCATTGAGATTGTTAGCTCCTACAGATTAAAATCATCAGTGGTTATGGGAACAATGCAGGAAAATGGTGTTGAAGTAGAGAATGAGCCATGAAGCTGAACTGGAGTCACCACATAAACACAGTGACTACAAGAGCAGGCCAGAAGCTAGGAATACTGCAGTGAGTAACTCACCTCCTGACTCCCCAAAGCCTGTCCACCACCTACCAGCCACAAGTCAGGAATGTGATGGAATACTCCCCACTTGCC